CTAAATGGCACTGTAGATTTGCGGAACCTCTTCCATAGAAGAGGTTACAACTGGCAGGAACCCCCCCCCCCGGGGGACACCATTTAGATACAGTAAGAGTACATTTTAGTGACAAAGTATATATGTGTTTTCTGACTGTTTTCAGTTTGGATTGATATTATATACACAGTAGGATTGCATCTTAAATTTAATTAAAATTCTTGGCAAGTATATATGTATCTATATAGACACAGTCTCTGTTGAGATTTTGAATTTGATCAATACAAAAGATGCAGACCTGCTCTGATTCTGCTTTATCACAAACCTGTTCTTTGAAACTGCCTTCTTTAAACAAGGGGGGAAATCTCTTGATATCACACATCTCGTGTTCATGAAGATCTGATCTGCTTACATTCTTCTCTGCGGGCTCTTGACTTTGCCCTAGTTTTAGTGAGCTCATGAACTGATTTACAGTTATGCAATTAGTTTCTCATAAGGTTCAACCGCTTGGCTTGAGTCACAAACAAGAGGCTCGCTTTGTTTTCAATTTGAGAAATATATTAATTTGATTGGGACCAGTCTAATTGGGAGGGGATGTGCGAAACTAGATAAAGCAGATACAGTGGTTTTGGATCCAAATTATGCAAGGTTATCTACATCTCGCACCTATGTGTCTCCACACCGATTTTTGCTTTCCACAAATAGAAATGAGGTTTCTAGGTCGGGTAACCACTCCTTCCTTGGGTATTAGAATAACAATTTAATTTGTTTGTTTTGTGAGTTCCACAATAGATGAACGATTATTGCAAAATGATTTATCTGGTTTTGGTTGCTACAGATGCATGCAACAATTTGAAAAGGAAGTAATAAATTCACATATTTCTGCCAACCGATGAAGCAATCAAGATTTGTTTTACAGATATTGTACACAGTTTTCAGGAACCATACAATACAGATAAGTAACTGGAAGCAGTAATGTCACCTGATTCTGGAATCAGCTAGTCAAAAGCTAAAATATGTACGAACTATTTATTATCCAAAGCAGGATTGTTTATAACTAACTATACTGGCTGTCTGAAAACTAAATTTGGATTTGTAAGCATTGCCTCCAATACCTTCCTAATGTTTCACAAGTATATTATTTATTCACTGTATACATTTTATACTTTGAAGATCTTTTGTCTCACAGAGTAGAAAGTGAGCAGGCTCGTTTTAGGATTGACATTTGCCTTTCCTAACTCCATCCAGAATCTGGCAAACATCATGTTATTAACAGAGTCCTGGATATATGACCACAATGGAGCCTAACATTTCTGTTGCTAAATGAGATAATTGTTAAGTGAGTTTTGCCACATTTTATGACTTTTCTTGTGAATCACTGCAGTTGNAATTATTGTTTTGTCTATATTTTAAACTATTTTTTTCATTCAGTGCAGTGAAAAGAGGGAAAGTTACATTTTCCTTTACTAGAATTTATATTTTTGCAAAACTAATTAGATGGATTGTAGTTTATATTCTTACCCCATGTTTAAGCATTTTGCAGCATACTGGTTGCAGCATACTAGGGTCTATTATCTCCATTTGCAACTTCTCCAGCTGGCTTCTGACAACCAAATTCAATGGGGAAGCAGCAAGAGGTTGAAATTCATAATGACATGATGTCTCACTAAATGACCATGCAAAAAAGGTTGTAAATTTAGCTGCATTCATGTGATGCCTCATTTAATGACTGTACTACTCAACAATAAATTTTATAGTCCCAACTGTGGCTGTAAATTGAGGACTACCTTTCTTATATAGTGTTGGAGGAATTGAAACAAAATATAGATTTTTATTCTTGGGTTTTTCCATGGTGATTTCCAAGGAAGACTGTGGTTGATAAAAGATTACCGTAGAAAGAAAGTCAGAACATTCATACCCAGTTCTCAGCCACCTGGTATGATATTTTTTCCCCTCAACATGAACTTTTCCACATTATCTTTGCCTCTGGATTTTTTTTAAGGAGAAATTTTTTTCCCTCCATTAAATAACCAAAGTAGTAAATGTTTAGGACAGCATTCATTTAAACCTTATCTGTGTCTATTCCTGAAAGTTCTGAATTAAACAAAACAAATTTTCATTAGCACCAGATGTTGTTTTCATGAAGATGATTATGTTAATCTGTTTTCCAGAAAGCCATATTAATGGAGGGGTAATATTTGGAGCAATTGTAGGAGCAATATTAGGCTCTGCGCTGATTTGCCTGGTTGGATATTTAATCTGTGGTAAAAGAAAAACTGAATCGTTTGGACATCAGCGACTTTATGATGACACAAGAAATGATCCAGGTAATAATCTATTTCAAGAAATAGAATCATAAGAGTCAAATGGATTTTGTGGTTTGAAAGTATGGTTTTGAGATGTGTCATTTTAAAGCAGGGGTGCCAAACTCAGCGCCTGCGGGCTGGATGTGGACTGCGCAGTGCTTAAATCTGACCTGGGAGGCTGGCCTCGAAATAACAAAGGACCAGCCGGTGGCACCTCTGGCAGCCAAAATGGGCTATGAGCCAACAGGTTGCTGCATGAGGCCATTCAGACTGAAAACGGGGCATGGGGGAGTCTGCACACGACTCTCCCTCACCCTGTTTTGGCTGGCAGGGTACTGCAGGAGGCCTGTCCCATTCTCCCCCACTGGCCGGCCCACGGACTACAATGCTGATCCGGCCCTTGAACAAATCCAGCTTGACAACCCTGTTTTAAAGGATAAGTTTTAGAAATAACAGGAAAGGAAGTTATGCAATATCTATATGTTCAGTTCCTCTTCTTCTTTATGCCAGTTAAAGCCATTTTGATTTAGGGTTAATCAATACTTCCTGGTGGTTCTATTGCCAGAATGTGAAAGCAATACATTTAGAGGGTAGAAATAGATGTCAGTTGTTACTTCTCTCACATTGCAAATTCAACCTTTGACCTTTGGCTTGAAAACAGTCTTTTCACTCTCATTTCACCTTGAATACTCTTATCCATTTGGATAGGGACACTTTAGTAACTTTAGTAACAGATTGTTTTTCTAATTTCTCTTGACAAAGAACTTTATTCTGTGCTGATATGAGATGGGCTACCTTGCAGAGCAATTTTATTGGGTATCTGGAGGGAGAAAGGGAGCTGGCACTCTCTCGGTCCCAGACAGAGAGGAAGAGATGATGATCTTATTTAATTTAGTAATGAAGAATCTGTAAGAAAACAACCAAGCTCAGAAAGAACCAAGGACCTGGGGATGACTTCCTGTCCAATTGTGAGGTGCTTACTGATGGGAATCCTGTTGATAGAGGTTTCCAGCTGGCAGCTATGTTGATGGGAGAGAGGTCCAATGGTTAGATTACTTACAGAGACTGAGGATAGCTCCTGAGTTGTGTGCAGAAGCAGCTATCAGGGATTTCCTGTGGGCTGGATGCCAGTGATGTATGTGGTAGCTCTGAGGGTGGGGCCAGGTGAGCTGAATGGGAAAGGTTGGAGTTGATGGGAATGAGGGCAAGTAGGAAGATCAAAGTTAAGATGGGCAGAGGGAGATATGGTAGGAGAAAGGTGTCAGGTTATTCTTGGGAAAGGCTGATTTAAAGTATCGTACCAAGTTAGCTTTCCAACCATTTGAATTCATCCCAAACATGAAGTCATTCCTTTGAAGACCTTGATTTCTGGCTGCTGCTGTGAAATGACCTGTGTGCCTGCAATAAGGCTTCTCTCCACAGTTTTATCATGCATGAGAAGGCATAGCTGGTGGGCTGCTTTCCAAATTTCCTACTTCTCCCTATGCTTAGTTTTTAAGGAGGTGCAGTACCACATTTTTTTTTTTTGCAATTGAGAGATGGGCAATTATCTTAATGAATGAATGAATGACTATAAAATTCCATGTCACATGAGTCAAACACGGAGGAACCCACATAATTGCATGTATATATTGGATTTAATGTATTGCAAGTTTGTATGCAAAACCTGGTCTAAAAGAACTCACATAATGTCTTTAACATTCTGTCCAAAGATGTATTGTGTAAAACATGTGTAAATATTGTCAATGTATATCTTGCAGTTCTGCGACTAGATGCTATACCTGAACCTTTCAATGCAAACTTTGGAGATATATCCTACTACAATCCCATGGCAGCCAATGAGAACCCTGTCCAGAACCACAAAGAAACATCATACAATGCAATCCCAATGGATGACATGACATCATCACAGCCTTCAGCAGAAATGCATAAAGCCATATGTTAGAATTAAAAACATATAGATCTTGTTCCTTCATGTGGCCCCTATAAAATTTGAATGTGTGTAGGAAGTGATGATTGCAGGTCATGTCATACTCTTTTTACCAATCTTTTGCATATGAGAGTGAATGAATATATGCTATCCCATTAGAAGAAATGCTGGCAGACTCATAAGTATGAGTAGACTTCTAAGAAAACTGGGTCCTTGATCTGAAGTAACCTTTTTTATATTGGTAATGTTTATTGATGGACATTTGCTGCCTCTGCTGTTACCTACCAAGTGATAACACTACATATGTAAACCGGTCACAAATGTAAGTTCTGGTCCATTTGTATTATTTTAGACATCCATGCTATGAATTAAACAAAAGCAATCCAAACTACTTATATAAAAATATTTGCATAATTTTCTTTTAAACCCAAATATTTGTAAAGAAGTTATTAATTATGACGGAATATAAGATCATTTACAATCAGTATGCTTCAGACTGAGAAATGCTGAACTTTTCTGCTTAATAATATCCCCAAAATATGTGCTAATGTCTACTGAAAATAGGATATTGGACAAAAGGGATTTTTTACCCTTTCAAAGAAGAGCAATTTTTCAACAATTCAGCCTCTAAATGAAATTATACAAGTATCACAACATTAGTGATAATATACAGTCTAGTAAAATCCTCTTCATCCTTCCAAATACTAATTCTAATGACATTCAGAGTTCAATATTTTTCTCAAGGAACTGATTGTTTAATACTGAGCAGGTAAACTATTTTCATGGCACTGCTTAAATTCAGTGGCAAAAATGATAAATTTTGGCAATGTTGCTCTCCCTCATTTTTTAAAATAGCCTCCAGAGTGTTCTCTTTCTATACTTTGCTCCAATTGGAAGAAAAAAAAGCTTACATCTCTGCCCATTCTAGTGTCATCACCAGCTCACCCTCGAGCTTTTCTGGAAAAAGATCTTAGTAAAAAGGAACATGAAGAAAAGCTGCCCTCCCCAGATTTAGGAGGAAGCTAATTTTGTTATAACAGAGTTTTTTTTAATGTAGCAGAGCACCCTAATTTTATTTTGTTATCAAATAAATAAATTACCTAATCATCTAATTATTATTGGTAGGTCAATTTAGAATAAATAGCCACATTCACCAAAGTGATGTCTCCTAGATATGTTGGAATTACAACTGCCCAACTTTCCAAATTACAGGTTATTTGGGAATTCAAGGAACTGGAACTGCAGCTCATCTGTAGCACATCAGGCTGACAATAAAAGAAAGTTAACAGAATAGCTGAGTTGAAAGGGACCTTGGAGGTCTTCTAGTCCAACTCCCAATTTAAACAGGAAATCTTATATCATTTCAGAGAAATGGTTGTCCAATCTCATTTTAAAACCTGCAGTGTTGGCGTACCCACAACTTCTGGAGGCAAGTTAGTCCATTGATTGATTGCTCTATTGTTGGAAAATTTGTCCATAGTTCTAGGATGGTTCTCTCTTTAATTAGTTTCCACCCATTGCTTCTTGTCCTGTTTTCAGGTGCTTTGGAAAATAGGTTGACTCCCTCTTCTTTGTTTTAACCCCTTAGATATTGGAACACTGCTATCATATGACCTCCTAGTCCTTCTTTTCATTAACTGGACATATTCAATACCTGCAACTGTTCCTCATTTCTTTTAGCTTCCAGTTCCCTAATCATTTTTGTTGTTCTTCTCTGTGCTCTTTCTAGAGTCTCGATGTCTTTTTCTATTATGGTGACCAAAACTGGGTGCAATATTCTGAATGTGGTCTTATTAAGCCATTATAAAGCTATATTTCATGTGATCTTGATTCTATTCCTCTATTAATGCAGCCGAGTTGTTATAATGGAGCCTAAGATATAAACCACATGCTTACTCAATTGGGCAGAAGAATAAGCAACTTCAAGGCTTTTAATTATTTTTATAGATAAACTAAATCTCAAAAGGAAGCTAGGCTAATGTACCTCATTTGTATTTCAGGAAAATAAATTTGCTCCTCTTGGGCCTTAGAACAGCATTCACAAATACCACAACACATGTACTGTTGCATCATGCATCAGGATGAAAGCATGTAAGGATAGGTTTGTATCATATGTCACTGTGGTTTTGCCTTTTAGTGGCTTGCCCTGGTTTCTGTCATTATGTACTATTCCCTGAAGCTCTGGTTTCGTTGTTCAAAACATTTGCACTAAAATACAGCCAACCGTTTTTGCTCGGCACAAACTGTGCTGTAGGTCTACTTTCAGTCACATTTTAGCACATATTATATCAGGATCATTTCAAACTGTTTGGGAAAGCTTTTCCTGACCAAAGCTAATTTTGTCAAAAAATGTTGCACTTTAACATCTTCAAGCAAAAAGGCGTATACTCAAAATGCTTTAAAAACTACTGTCTTTCTAGTACCTTAAACTGGTGTGTGTATTTGTTTTCTTGTCCTGTTGTTTCATGATCATTTTAAGATTTCCATTTATTTAGAACATGAGTCAAATAAATAAAAGGAGTACATAGAAAATGTAATAAGAACAAGCTGCCTTTAAAAAATAAATTAAAATCTATCTTGGAATTGATTTTACCTAAAGGGACGAAAAGGGGATTGTATTCCAAGTTACCAAACCAAGGGTGATTTACGCTTCTTATTTTGCCACACCACACTAATAGTTTCAACTTTACTTTTGTCAAGAATCAATCTTGGTTCATAAGATCAAAGTGGGTGGGAATTCAGATGTTCATGGGAAGCCATGCTGAAGAATTGGAGGTGAGGAGGAAAGCAATAGCAATAGCACTTAGCAATAGCACTTAGACTTATATACCACTTGACAATGCTTTACAGCCCTCTCTAAGTGGTTTACAGAGAGTCAGCATATTGCCCCCAACAATTTTGGGTCCTCATTTTATCCACCTCAGAAGGATGGAAGGCTGAGTTAACCTTGAGCCTAGTGAGATTTGAACGGCAGTCAGCAGAAGTAGCCTGCAATATTACCCTCTAACCACTGCACTACCATGGTAAAATGTATTTTGATATTCACTGAGAAACCTTCCCCCCATGTTCAGCAATTGTGCCTCTGATACAGTGTTGGGATTCAACCATTTTTACTACCGATTCTGTGGGCGTGGCTTGGTAGGCACGGCACAGCTTGGTGAGTGTGGCAAGGGAAGGATACTGTAAAATCTCCATTCCCACCTGACTCCAGGAGAAGGCAACTGCAAAATCCCCATTTCCTCCCAATCATCTGGGACTCGGGAGGTAGAGAATAGATAGGGGTGGAGCCAGTCAGAGATGGTATTTACCAGTTCTCCAAACTACTCAAAATTTTCTCTACCAGTTCTTCAGAACTGGTCAGAACCTGCTGAATACCACCTCTGCTCTGATATAATGGGCATGAGAAAAAGATGCTCTTCTGAAAGTCCAAAAGCCAAAAGGGATTCCATACAGAAAGATGATCTTACAAATGTG